AATGCTTTCCCTACCTTTAAATTAAAAAGAGCGTTGAATGATAAACTCAAACATAATCAATGAAAAGATTATGTTAACCAAAAATACGCTTTAAGCATAGGTTTCAAAGAAATACAGAGAACATAAGTTATTATGAGGTAAGTTACCACTGACAAAGAAAACAGAAATATTGCATTTTGTTACTAAAAAAAAAAAACTGGGTTATGAGATTACACGTGTAAGTGCTCACGGACGATTGTCGTAAAAGCGGCATTTCGTGCATGCTGAATTTGACAAGATATTAGGGTAGTTATTAAAACATTGGTTTATGCAAGTGACAAGCGTAAAGCTAACGTAATGGAAACCTCCAGTGGAAGTTCGTCCTTCAACACGACCGAGGCCAGCCAGCTTTTGAAGGACATATTGCAAGGAAACACAGGTAAATTTGTGAGCAAATACTGGCATTGGTAATATTAAGTTGAACAAGCAAATTAGTGTTAATACGCTAAGAAGTTATAACGTAATATGTTAGGCATGCGATTTATTGAAGCGATTTTGCAAGACCTGATATGATGTAAATAGTAAAAAAACTGCTTATTGTAATACAGTATGCCCCCCACTTTTTGAAATACCAATCGTTTTCCATTCATCTCATAAAGCATTAGGTGTCAAAGTAAAAATATGATTGACAATTTTTATGCATTTTTTCATTTTTTTCACCAAGGTGTTTCCAGCATATCAAGTTCTGTCACTGATGGAGATTTTGCCAGGTCTGCAAGGTAATTCTTTAATATAACCAAGTATCCAGGAATGCTTAATATGTCTGGGGAATTTTACGCTAAAATGGTCAGATATGTTAATTCTCTTTACTTTTTCTGCATTTTTCATTCATATGTTATTATAGGGATATCAGTGGAGAGTCAGGTGCCAGTTTTGCAGATGCGGTGAAGGCACACCTGCCAAAACAGCAGATGTAAGTATAAGACTGGGTTCCCATATCTAGATCAATCTAACAGGACCGATCCATCTCCAAGGGCTTTCTCGCTTAGTTGTTTTAGATGTCTGGCACGCCTAATTAAAGGCATAATAACTCTTTGTATGATACCTATATTTCACAATAAAAACCTTGTGAATAACTCATAGAAATATAATATATTCTGTTTTACCACAAAAACAGCAGTTATAGCTTTTATTCTGATATTTGAACTTGTCTTTAGACCACGTAACCTCCATTGATGTCTATACTCTGTTAAAATCTCTTAAGAGATTTTAACAAAAAACCAAACTTTTTAGAAAAAAACCAGGGACTAACTTAGAATGTAAAAATGGATTCATTAACCATTGGTAAGCATGGGAAAATTGTTGTTTACTCCAGGAAAATTCATTTTTTGGCCGAAACAAAGAGTTATTATTGCTTTAAGCTGCCAAACAATAATTTATTACTCCCTAGCAGCTTCAGTAGGCATGACAGACATCTAAGCCGCTTAAGTTGATTGGAATTTAGCGAGAATCCCCTTGGAGATATAGATCAATCCACAGCTAGTATGATAGGGTGTGGGAATGGTCCCTAAAACTAAACAAGAAAATGTCATGGCCACCCATTGGAAATTACATTTGAGTTAATAAAGACTTTCTGCGGGATAATTTACGTACGAAAATTGATAAAACTACAATTTTTAAGATGACTCATTGAAATGTTGTTCAAACTTATTAATTTTTTAATTCTCTTTTCCTCAGAATTTTACAAGGAAATGACAGTGCCAATAGTTTTAGTGTATATGGGAGAGATGTTAGTATCATTGCCAGTCAGGCCAGTGGTGCCGCTGAGAGAGTTCCAGCCAGTAATAAGGTACAAACTTATAAATTAAAAAAAAGAATAAAGTAATTTTTCTTCAATCAACAGCTTAAAGGGATATCAAATGTTCATATGAGATCTTTATTTCACAACAAATACATTGTAAATGAATTCTCTTTTAAAAACCAAAACAGCAGTTATCACAATTGTTCTGAAATCTGTTCTTGCTATCGGACCAGAATTAAGTAAACATGTTTAATAATGAGAGTGCAAAAAGTTGTAATGTCATCAATGGCATGTGAAAACAACAACCCTTTTCTTGCAGTACTGGTAATTTTTAGACCAAACAGTGATAAATTTCACAGAAAAATACAAAGTACGTTTTTATAATTACTGCCATCCTGAGGTTCTGTAACTGTAGTTGTAATATTTATTCTCTTTTGAAGGTGAAAATCACCCCAATGGTAAATTTTGAATGGGAGCCCAAATACTACATTGGGAACTTGGTTGCTATACACAGGGATGGGATACACATGTCATATGTTCTGACAGGTGAGAAAACCATGTGGTGTACAGTATATCATGGATAAAGGCTTTCCCACTATCAATGGCTAGAATAGCATCCTGAGTGTCACTGTTCAATATAATGACCAATATTAGTTGTTACAGTAAAGCTTTCTTATTACTGCCTTTCATTGTTGTTGCTTCAGGTGCATGGAAAGTTTGCAGATGAGTTTCATGTTATTTACCAAGGAAAGAGAGAACTTTGAATGTATATGTATACTTGCTTTTAAAATGTACTAGTATGAAGTGTTATAAAACTGAATGCCAGTGAAACTTTTGTTTATGAAGAAACTCATCATACAACATGAAACAACTGTATATTTTTTAAACTACTGATTCACCATTTTTGAAATTAATTAACTAAATTATTTTAAAAAAATACATAATTTGAAAAAAAAAAATAAAAAGCAAAAAAGTCATAATTGCAAGTAAGATTTCAAAAAATAAAATGTCGTATTTTTCAAATTATTTTTACATGATTGTCTACATGTCTCTTCAGGCACAGGTTTGTAAACTTTTATAATCAATAGAATCTAGATGTATTGCTAAGCTTTTAGGTTAGGTTTAATTTATATATTAACCACTATGGTCAAGGAAATCAGAAATCTGGGATAGTAAAAGAGATTTGTGATGATGATTATGTCAAGGAAAATAATAGTCGTACCTAAGTCTTCTTGTGCTTCTCAGAATTCCAGTTTTTGCATGCCGAACTTGCTATGTAATGCTTATTAGAGAGTTTCCGTTGCCGGTGAGATACGCCGGCTAGATTAATACGTCATCGGTTTGTGCGCACTTGTGACGTTCACCGCATTCATATTCCGTCATCCCATCTAGTCTGCAGAATACAAGCGCTCCTATCTAGCCAGTGCGGAAGATTATTGAAAATAGTTATTAAACGTTATGTTTGCTAATTTATATGACTTATATACTTTTTTTACAATAGTTCAAGTGTACGTTCATGCAAATTTAGACTTTTTAACAGAGAGGAGTCGCTAGTTTTGGTTTATCAGGCATGTAGTCGGGGGTTGATCGTGGGGTTCTTACGAACCGCCATTTTTGTTGGGAAAAATTGCACTTTTGGGTAATATTTGTCTCCTTTTTCATTAAAAAGAATCCCCCCCTTGGAAATAGATGGCTACGGGGCCGTATATTGTTATTATTATATTGGAATGAGCGCCAGCATTCCAGGACATTACCAGAACGCGAAGAGAGAAGCGCGTTACTGGATACATTAGCACATACGTAACAATCTAGCCGTCGTATCCCAACTGCACCGGAAACTCTATTGTCTGGTAATGGTACAGGTAAATTCTCTTGCAAGAAAGAACAAGCACTTGCACATTGAACGTTAATGGTTTTGCCAAAATTTTGAGAAGCATGCAAGTGTAGTGAGAACAAGATACAGGATACACCTAACATGGCTCGCATCTTAGATAATATAAGTTGCAATATGCCTCTTAGGGAGTGTTCCCATAACCCTATCATACTAGCTGGATTGATCTAACTCTTTGGTGATTCTTTCTAAATCACATTCACTTTAAGTTCTTAAATGTCTGGCACATCCCCCTTGAAACTTAAAGTAATTGAGTCAAGTCGGGAAAACTTTGTGGTCCATGGTGTTAATTGATCATGCTGCGTTGCAAGGGGGCATGCCAGACAATAATTTATTAAGCTGATTAAGTTGACTGCGCCTTAGTGAGAATCCCCACTGAGATTGATTGATCTTGCTAGTACCATAAGGTTTTGGGAACACAGTATTAAAAACATAAGTGGATGGGGGATCTGAATGTAGTCTGCTTGCTAATGCTATCATATATCTGACTGCTATCGGCTTGCTAACATTAGGAATATCTGCTTTCATCAAAAATCGACTATGACTGAGGAAAATTGACTAAGGACAGAGAAAATCTAATATCCCTTTTTCTTCCAAAAGCCTGTTTGTCTCTTTTCTTTCTTTCAATTCAC